TTGCATCTTGAAGATAAGCAAACCAAGCTGATTCGTGTAAATTAAAATATTTTTCTAATAAAGATCCAACACCTTCTTCACGTAAATTCGGACCAATTAAATAAAGATTATGAAGCATACGAACAGCATCTAGTTCATTTTTTATTGATTTTCCTGATTCATTATCAATTATAAAATAAGATCTATTAGTAAGTTTATCAATAAATGATTTTTGATATAATCTTTCAAGTGTATTACGTGCCATTTGTTTTGAATATGATTGCATATGAATTGAACGAATTTTATTTTTTAATTGTTTATCGTTTTTAAGATATGTTTGATATTTAATATCTTCATAAAATGCAAGTAATGTTCGATTTGCTGGTTCATAATCAATTAAATTAGTTATAGTTAATGGTAAACCTTTTACAAATGCATTTAAACTTGATATCGTACGAGATTTACCACTGCTAACAAGACGAATACGTGTTGAAGAATTCGTTGATAAAACTTTCCTAAGCAATAGTGACATACGTTCAGTTAAACGATGTGCAAGATTTTTATGTTCAATTTTACCAAGTCTTGATAAATGACCACGTCTATTTTTTTTAAATATAAGAAAATAAAAAATAAAAAATAAATGACAACTTAAAACAAACCCTAATTTATCATTAATAGCAATAAAATATTGAAGATCTTCACCAAATTTTTGACCAAATTTAGTTAATGCTTGTTCATTTTTTGCTTGTGTCCATAATGCCATTGTTAATTTATCATATTTTCGACCTTCCAATGCTCGACAACCATGTCGTGCAATAATTTGTGTACATACTAATTCAAATCCAATTGGTGGTAATGGTAAAGCTAATGTTGATGATGGAGATTTATAAGGTGTTTTAGTTGAATAATATGTTTTATGTGTATCATTATACACGAAATTTATCATTAATAATAAAAGATACAATGTGTTTATATTCATTATTTCATAGAATAAATAAACGAAAACTAATAAAAATAACTATATCGAGGAAAAAATAATTGTCTATTCTATTGATGATTACACAAAAGTAGGCGGAATTATTTTAGATAATAATCGTTCGCACGACTAACAATCACATACGATATATGCAAATATTCAATATTGTTTACGTACTATTTCTATTAATGAGAAATATAAGTAAATTCTTACCTGTGTAAATGCACGTGTACGAATAAACCATTGTTTTAAATATTTTTTTTCTACAATTGCACCAGATCTCCATGAACGACCAACTTCATCTATTTGTTCGTCAGCTAAAACTGTCTGATCAACAGGATCCCAATTAACAGCTGCCTAAATAAAATATAAAAAAAAAAAAGAAATTTTAATAATCTTATAATGTTTAATAAATAGTAACTTTTTTTTGATAAACTAATCCTTCATGATATAACATAAGAAATATATATTGTGTCCATTTATAATAATTTGGATCACATGTTGATAATTCCTAAGTAATATTTTGTAAAAAAAAAAACATTTCATTAAAAAAAGAAAAAGCAATTCATTTACTCGTTTCCAATCAAAACTACAACCAAGTTGTTTTATTTGTTCTTTCATATAAGCAATATTTCTGTTTAAAAAAACCTATAGAAATTATTACTTGATGATTGATTATTTACTTTCTTGTCCATTGATCAGGTTCTTCTGATCGTTCAAATGCAGCATTTTCAGCTGGTAAACCAAATGCATCCCAACCAATACAATGAATAACCTACGCATTTAGAAAAAAAAAAACAAAAAATCTAATTGCTCAAAAAAAGAACTTACTCGATAGCCTCGCAATCGATAATAACGTGCTAATGTATCACTTAAAGTATATACACGTACATGACCCATATGTAAACGTCCAGATGGATAAGGAAACATGGGTAGAACATACATCTTTTGTTTTTTATCATTATCCTTTTTTGTTTTTCAAGACATAAAAAAAACCAATAGTCAGTATATACGAAAAATAATTTCAAAGAGATTATTTTTTTTACTCGTTCTAATTGATATTTTTCATGTTCATCAAATAATTTTGGCATCCAATGTTTTTCTATTTCTTTCGTTTGATCTATTGCCAAACTTTTTGGCTAGAAAATCATAAAAAAAACAAACATTTAAATTATGCTTTCTTTCTTTTTTTTTAACTTTTCAAAACAAATTAAATTTTGATTATTCGAATTTCGAAAAATGCCTACGAATCGTCATAACTTATAAATAACTATATTAGTTTTTCATAGCAAATGCGGAATTTTTTTCGGGAAAAAAATTGTATTAAGTTAATCTGTGTAAATTAATACAAAAATCGAAATTTGTGGAAGATAAATATACTTTATTCTGATTATCTAGTAGAATTATTATTCGAATCATTTATAATCTTATGAATCTAAAATTTCAATTGTGAAGTATTTGGCCAATTGTTTGTTTGATTCTTAGAGTGTCTTCGATACATTAGAAGATTCGCAGGATCTTCTATTTCGTCTTATCGTTTACAAGAGGACGGCTTTTATTATGTCTCTAAAACGAAAATTATAGCTTTATGTAGTCTTCCTGATAATTCTTAGTTTCAATTCAGATTTATTCGATACGTCATTAGTTAACAAGTTTATCTCACTTATCGAAGACCCGTGCAACAGAAAAGAAACAGATAATATCTTTTGAAAGGAAAGAAAATAATCCTTGAGAATGTTTTTAGAATAATACAGTCAATATATTCTAATATATCTTCCTAGAATATACTAAAGCTTCATATGTGACCGATGTGAATGCGTTAATTAGATCTTATGAGTACAAAAACATTTTCTTTTTAGTCTAGAAAACCTAAGAATTTCTTCAGAGTATGCTAAAAAAGAGTACTGAAATGACTCTACGTCATGTTCTCAATAAACTCTTCTTTCCTATTAGATGTTTCTCATAATTTTTCTAACTCGAAATTGACGCATCGTTAAAACAACGGAAGCCATTACTGAACTTAGACTTCAGCATGGTCATGAATACTAAAAAAATCAGCAAACTGCAGATATTATTTTAAAAAATCTATTTACAGCAGAGATAGAACGAGTACAAGTACCATACTTGTATTTGTACTTGTAGTCAAGTACGAAAAAAGTACTTTATATTTTTATTTGATGTATAAATATAATACTCTTCGTCTTTGAACGCGCTAATTACTTTTGATAAGTTTTTCAAGACTATCGTGACATGATTTAATTAAAAAATTAATGAATATAAGAATATTTTAATGGAGGTTTTTCTCTTATATGATGATAAATTTACTACAGGACACTTGTAAGAATTATCTATTTTAATTGTTCGAGTTTATTCAAAATTATGATAGATATCTATAAATGAGGATGCTCGTTCGGCTGACTACCATAGACACATATAGTTTTCGGTGACACTAAGAAGAATTTATGTGAATTCAGATCCACGCTCTACAAGTCGAAGCAGATTATTGCTTCGCTATATTTTGCAATTATCGATAGGATTTTTTAAATATTGACTAGAAAGATTTTAATATGAAATGTTGATACAAGATTTCTTGAATTTATATTAGATCTTTCTAAAAGTTTAGATTGAGATCATTAATTCTTTCTAACAATATTGAACTTAAAATAAATGCAGTTTATCAGATCGATTTTGATATGTGACTAATAATTTAAAAAATTTAATACGCTAAGGATGAAAATCAACCGTGACAAAAACTTATACGGTAATCTGATCTATTCAAAGGCTAATTGTTTCCAAATTGAACATCTTGTATTTCTCATGCGATACGTCGAAAATATAAAAAATGCTTTATATAAAAGAGTCTTAGGCTTTCAAAAATAACCAGAAACCCAAAATGTGTTTTTTATTATTAAGTTCATGTATGTATTTAGTAAACGACTCTACTACTTAATCAAATAAACTTTAATATTTGAAACGTCTTTCGTTGACGACAATAATGAAGTGTTCAAAATATACTTCCAATACACAACAAGACATTGTTTCGTATTCCAAGTAAAAGTATAGTGACGGACAAAAGTTTAGAGCAGTTCTATTTTTGAGTTTTCTTCTCGATGATAATAGCTAGGAAGGACCGGAAAAAAAAACATTTGAATAGCTAAAAGAACTCTCTATTAAGATTTGTGAACATAAAAACTGCTTGGATAAGGATGTATGGAAAAACTAAGATTATCCAAAACCAGTTTTTTCACATCCATTTGAAGCTTTTTGGAAACGGTTTTATTTGAAAGAGCAAACTGAGATGTCTTGCCTCTCCTCATCGAACTGGATTCAATTCATAAAAGGTCTCAAAACATCAAAATCATAGAGACTTTTCATAAAAACAAAAGAAAAATGCTTTTTGAGTCTTCTGTAAATCGAATGCAGTTCGATGAAGAGAACTGCAACGTCTTATTTTGCTCTTTCGTATAGAACCATTTCCAAAAAGCTTCAAATAGATGTCAGAAAACTGATTTTTGAAGATCATGGTTTTCTAGATGTCCTCATCCAAGCAGTTTTATTGGAGTTTTTTAGTCTACCAATCCTAATAGAGAATCCTCAAAAAATACAACTATTCTAAACTTATATTCGCCACTTTACGAAAGCATTTGTCTCGAAGTACAAGTATAAACACTTCCGTCCGCGCTCTGGTTTTTACAGGTAGTTTTCTAATGTGTTGAAGACTTTAGATGGTTCACAATCTTTATATATATATATATATAAATTATGAAATAAGTACCCATTTGCCAGTTAAACTGTAGATTGTACGTCGCAATTGTAGATATCGCATGATTTTTCTTTTCAATCTACAATGTTAGTTATTCTTTCATTTATCTATAACCCAAGTTGCGAATATATATTTAAAAAAAAGAAAAAAAGAAAAAATGAGATTTATCACATAAATAAAAGTATACTATACACCGGTATGAATAAAAGAAAATAAAATAAATATGCTATTGGAAATTCTTTTTGCCCATGAGATATAGATGAAAATGAGAATTATTTTTTATTAGTTTCGTTCTTGTTGATTATTTGATAAATTTTTAAAACGTTGACATAAAAAATTTTGTTTATCTTCATAATTATAACCACATTTCTGATAAAAACTAACTAAATGATCTTTACATTCTAATGATATTTTATAACAATCACATTTTTTACGTCCTAATTCTGTTAATAAATCAATAAGTAATTTTCCTAGTTGTTGTCCACGACATCGATCATGTATAACAACATCTTCAATTCGACCACGTATACTTAATTGACGAATAAATTTTTTTTCACAAACAAGTGTTGCTGTACCAACTATTTGTTTATCACTATTTATATCTTCTATAACAAGAACATAATATGTATTTAAACATTGTTTTAATTGATTAAAACGTTGTTTAAAACCATTATATGTAATTGTTCCACATTCAGTTAATTGACGAAGTAATTCAATATAACCATGATTATAATCTATGATTGCTAATGGTCGAATTAAATATTTTTCATCGTAAATATTTTCTTTAAGTTTGCAATCTTTTAATGAATATTCTTTAAATATTGATTCAAGTAAATTTAAATCAAATAAATATTCGTTTTGATGATCATCATTTAAGTTTTTAAATGCATAACCATTTTCTTGAGCCATGTTTTTTTTTCGTTGGAAAATAAATAAAATAGAAATGAATGAACATATCGATATACCGACATGAAGTATTTTTTGTAATAGCGGATATTGACAAATAATTTTACTGACAATAGATGGCAGTGAAAACTGATCTTTTACCTTCTTTATATATATATATCTAACAAATATTTTATTTTAAATAAACAACAAAATTTTTCTTTCGAAATAAAGAAAATCTATTTAATCAATTTCAAATCAGATTTTTTCTTCTTTATTTAATATTTAACATTTTTATTTCTTATATTGCGACTTTGTACACCTATCTGTCGATTGCCTGTACAACCTTTTTGATGTTTAGTTATGGCATTTTCAGTAGCAAACTTTCTTTGACATAGAGAACATTGATATGGACGATCGTTTGACGATTGAATTAAATCATCTGCTGGATGATTATATTGTCCTTTGACAACATTTTGAAATTGTTGATGTTTTTCTCTCCAATGAGTTTGTAGAAAATGTTTAGTCAAAGATTGAAGTTCTTTATGTTTAGAATTTAATTGAGTTGTACTAATACCATAATCAAGACCTTTCCATCGATGTAATTGACTATCATAATGATAGCGATGTAAAGAATTTAAATGAAGTTTTTTTGATTCTTTACAAGCTCGTTCATGTTCAATAAGACGATTTTGAGTAAAATGACGATTACATATTAAACATTTTTGAAGATTTAAAATTTGTTCATTATCTCAAAAACAAAACATTAAAAAGTAACATTTATCATGAAACATACCCAACTATCAGAAGCTGTTCAGCTATGAGTAGCTCTTGGAAAGACTAAGACGAGCTTAAAAAGCTTTGAGTTCATGGTCTACTAATAAAGAGTTTTGGACGTTTTAATGAAATTTTTAACTAAGAGCAAGGTATTGCCGAAAAATCTAAAACGAAGAATTTCGATCTGATATTTGGCCTATAGATACGTTTAATAGCTAGCAGATTATCCGGAAAGTTCCAATGAAGACGAATATTAAAAAAATTCATACAAATTTTAAATAAATTTTCTTCGACATATAAAACTTTCCAGATATAAATCCTTTCACATGAATACGACATGTATTTTTTGCACGCTTCATATCTTTAAGAGGCTTTGTTCAAAACTTCTGAATCGGAAGGAGATAGCTGAAGAGGTTGTCCGGTTAATCTCACAGAGACCTACTCATAACCATAATATGAAGCCGAACGACATCCAACAGTTAAGTATGTTCCTACGTTAGACATATATATAATTTTTCGAATGATGAAACAAAGTTCTTTTATTAAAAAACCTAAAAGAAAACCTAGGGATTCATTGTGATAGATTAGGCAGTAGAATATACATTTTTTTTGTTATATGTACAAGACGATTGTTACACTAATCCATTATCAAACACGAACACTAATTAAGTATAATAGAGAATATTTGAACAGATTAAACAAATATTGTACTATTTGCGATAGACGACAGGAAATATTTTTTGTTTTCGTGAAGTTTTTCACATAAATAATTACTCTAGTAAAGTATAATGAGATATAAGAAATTCTACAAATAGATTTTGTCTAATAGTTTAAAATAAATCATTTTTATATTGATGGATTGCAATAGTTGATGTAAAGATACTTTTCATTACTAATAATGTTCTTTTTTTCTATGCACATTCACGAAAGTACTGAAGTCATATGATTTTTATGTTATTCTTCTTTCTCTTTACATTAAGATTATTATGTCCTCTCGTTTTGTTAGAATAAATGAATACATAAAACATAGATAAGAATACAAACAATAAATTTCAAGATCTACCTAGCGTCCTCTTCATAGTCTTATATAACACTGAATCTCTCAAGTGTCGGTCGTTCAAGAAATAAAAAATAAAACGATGATTCACACAAACTTGATTGTTGACGTTTATTATTTCTATTATCATGTAGTTCATTTAGTTGTCGTTTTTTTTCATGTTCTTTTGGCATAGATATTACATTAAGAAATTCAGATTTTATTCAAAATCAAAACAAATAACTTTATCAAAAAAAAAAATACACAAAAAAATCACTTGACAACATATTTTTTTTATCATAAGTCTCCATCACGAACAAATTTATTTCCTTGACTTCCTTCACCACTATATTTTTGTGGAAGTTTTCCTACAGATATTCGACTTTGATTTTTATTTGTATCTTTTGGTAATGGTGTATAATTATTTCTTTTTTCATATCTTTTCTCTTCATTTGTTGATAATGATCGTGATTGTTTTGTTTCAACTATTGAATAAAGTATATCACCTAATTGTGTTGCAATATGACGTTCATTCGAACTTATTTCACTTGCATCAAGAAATTTTAATGTTGGTATACGAAATATAAGTAAATGTCTATAACGTTGATAGTCTTCATCAAGACGATTTTGTGCAAATGTACTAAGATCTGTATTATTAGATGATATTTGATTAGTTGCACTTATTTGATATGGACAAGCTTCATTGCCTAATAATGATAAATGTGTTAATTTTGGATATGCATGACGTAATTGATCAACTAATTTATATATATCTTGTAAACGATTTTTATTTAACATTAATGTATGTAAATTAGATAATGTTGGAAATATTGTATGAGTATCATCTAAATCATTATCATCGAGTATAAGTTCTTCAAGATATGGAAAATTTTGAATACAAGTAAGTAAACGAAAACGATTTTTACTTAAATCAAGACTCTAAATAAAACAAAAATAAAAATACCATTGATTTTGAATAAAGTTTTTTTTTCTGTACCTTTGTTTTAAGTGAAAATGAGTCAATAATACTTTGTGGAATACAATCAAAATTTGAACCAATACAAATAAGTCTTTGAGCATTACCATCATATATAAATTGACTATCTTCATCAGCCGGATTTATTGTTGAATCTTTTGATAAATCATCTAATTGAGGTTCGATTATTTCATTTTCACAGGCTTGTTTTATTATATCATTATTACGTTGTTCACTTTCATTATATGTTTCATCACTCATTTTATTGCTGTTAATACTACCTGAAGATATTGATATGAAATCTGCTGATGTTGTAACTGCTTCGAAATGATGATGAAGTAAGAAGAAACAAGACAACGAATGCATACAAATGATAAGATATCAAATAAAAAAAAGAAATAGTTGGTTATATTTTTCATCGGTTTTTATTGTCAAATATATAAACGACGTCATAGAGAAGTAAACAAACGAAAATTATTATCCAAGTACAAAGTAAAAAATAAGAGTCTTCTAGTACACTTATCATTAAAAAAAAGTGTCGTAATGTACTAATTGACACTAAAAGTATATTTAGGAGATCGTGAGTTATCAGTTATGTACTAAAGTTGTTTTTTTACTTATAATAACTTTTTTCAGTAAATTTTTTTTACAAATAAACCTTACGTTCAAATCTAAACCATTGTTCAACTTATGAGTCTTTTGAAAAACTAAAATAAAAAACTAAAAACTTGACAAAATATATTCGGTACTCTCACATAATAATTCACAGGTAAATATATAGAAGTCTGCCATCTCAAGACATCATAAGGTACTTTTTAGATATATCTAACCTTTTAAAAACACAAGTTAAGGTTTTACCTTTGATCGAGTCTATTAAGTATATCTTTAATATTTATATTACATAGACAAAATATGAAAATAAAAAGAAATGAAATTTTCAACCAAGTTTTTAATATTTACTCAACAAAATGGGTAGGAAGAATATGATCAAATGGAGACTTTCTCCTGTTATCTATTACAGATATAAAGAAAATACATCTAGATGATTCAGTATTGTTCAAAGGTCGAAATGGAGTGGCGTTAAGTTAAATCACCGAAATTTCTCCATAAGAAACTTTAATACTGTAAATGTCCGTATAAAGGCCATATATCTGAATAATCGTTGTCAAAGTTTATGGCTTTCTAAAAGATCAACATTTACCTTCAGTATAACTGAAAAAAACAACAAACTTTTATTATTGTGTAAAGGATTTGATTATCCTATCGATAAAAACAATGAATGTTAAAACTTATTGACAATGTGAATATAATCAAAAGCATAAAAGTTAATACCGAGTTCACACTAATTATTATCAATAATTTTTTTTCAATGATTCGCTTTGCGTTATGTAATTCTATGAATATAGTTCATGTGAATTTCTCGACTAATATTCGAATCTACTGGTTTTCGTATGATCAATCTTTGCTTTATCCATTTTTCTGAACATCTTTTGTTTAAGACAAAACAGTGATCGTTTAGTGTATGTACTCAAATGATGAATGAGCAAAATAAGTGTCTTCGTTCGATAGAGAATAATAAAGTACAAGATTGAGTGATTATTTTCAGTTGTACTTCTTGTAGTCTTATGCCTATTTTTTTTTTGTAAGGTGCAGTCACTTAGATGAATAATTAAAGAGTACAAGCATCTTATTAAGATATGGGGAACAAAACATTCTCTCGATTTCGATCTTAGGTCATCGAAGCTGCATCGACAAACAAGAAATGCTTGACAGTGCATTTCATTCATCGTCAATATTTTCTAAAATTTTCAATTCGTCTCTCGTCGTTATTATTATCTATTGAAGCAACCGTTGAGAAAAGATATGTTCATAGTACCATAAATCAAGACATTTGACCATCAAATTTGTTACATGCGATACGAGCACCGATGAGGCGGCTGTGCGGTTATGATGTGTGAGGGTGAGGTTGTAGACGAAAACGATACTCATGCTCACACTCTCTCACCTTCATACTGAGACTTAATGTTGTTGTACTATCGCATGAACTTCATCGCATGTTTTGACTATATTCAACATTTGATATTTTAAGTCATGCGATGAAAACCACCAAAAAATCAGCGATTTGATGGGTTTGGTTAGTGATAATTTTTCTGAATAAAATCAATCATTTCTGCTTTAATATCGAACTTGAAGAATTGCAATTGTTGCAGAATATTTTTGACGTACATCAAATAATGTCGGCACGCTGAATCCGTCTGAAATATCAACACAGCATGAAAATATCTTCTAACTCAGATCCAGTTTAGAGTTTCTTCTTGATATTTTACCGATCACAACTAGCGAATCAATTCTTCTCTAATGAGCTTCTGTCTACTCAGAACACAAAATACATTGAAGATAAATATCATCACGACTACTAAGTTTTTTATTAAATTAGACATTATCAAAAAACTGTATGAACGATGATCTCTAAATATATATTTTTGTGTAGTAACGTCTATTTTCATTTTAATTCATTGAGCACAAGTATAATTTATATACTGAATTAGGCTATCAGATCTATGAAAAACGAGAAAATAGTACTTTTCGAAGCTAACGCAGAATTTTTCTGTTTCTAGATGTGCGACTTACCTAGACCCCATCGAGTTCTATCTGGATCCGATGGGCTCTATCCACAAAAGATCAATCAATTAGGTTCGAATCCAACAATTTTGACTGATCTGATCCGGGCCGGGTTCAAAAAAAATTTTATCGATCGGGCTCGGGTACAGAAATTCTTGGACTCTAGATTACCACTAAAACTAATTCAGTATTTGCAACATGGGAAGCTATTTTTTTAAAGAACCTTTTGCTCGTTTATCATCAACACTGAGTGCTTTTAAATACTAACAACTATTCCTTTTGTAGACTATTATTAAATCTTTATAGGATTAATTAGGCTTGCTATGTTTGTTCTTCCTTGTTTAGTGCATGCTTGTTCTATCTTTTTTTTTTGGCTTCTTTCATATAAAACTAATTTGGTACTCAAAGTTGCTAATATCGCATCGTCTTTCTCAAAATTGATAAACTCTTTTTTTTTCTTGTTTATTTTGTAAAAACTTTATAAAAATGTCGTTTCATTATCACCAATTTCAGTGCCACGGCATCTACATTGACAAGATATATATGGTGGTCCTGAATTAACTATAAAAAAAAAGTCATTCAATAAATACATTTTTCAATACATGAAAAAAACCGATTTACCAGATCTATTGTCACTAACTTGTTTGTCTTTCCAATATTTTTCAGCTATTCGTTGTTGTTGTTGTCTTCGAATATGTGCTTTATCATAATGATTTTTTTCACCAAAAATTTTTTTTTCCCTATTAATATCATCAGATTCTATAAAAAAAAAAATAAAAAGTTTAAATTATCATAACAATGTTAATTTAATTTAATTTAGTTTACTTTGACGCATTAAACATTTTATTGGCCATAATAATAAATTAAATGGTGGAACAAACATTTTTTTTTCTTCATATTCTCTTAAAACAACATAAAAATGATAACACCATGCTTGACGTGATTGACCATGAACACGTTGAATTGTAAAACTAAAAGACAGACAAAAAAAAAAGTTAAACATATTCTTTAAAATCGTTTGATAATATCATACTTAAATAAAGCAATAAGATTATTTAATAAAAGAACATATGCAACAATAAGAAAAACTATTGTTAAAAATAATGTAACAAAACCATATCCATCATTTTGTGCTAGAAAAAAACAAACAAATAATTTTAAAAATTTTATTATTTAAATATAATAAATAAACCCGAATATTTGGTAGTAACTGCATCACTTGTTATTAAACTAGTACTTCCAAATATTTTCCATGTACCCCATTCAATAATATTTCGTAAAATTTCAATATTAGTTAAATTTCCTCCATGTTGTATTGTTTCAAAATATGTTGAATTTGACCAAATAACCATTGATGATGTTGATATTAATGAAAATGTTGTTATTGTATAAGCTAAATGAAAAATAAATATAAAAAGAAGAAATAATACTAAATCTTTCATCTAAAACAAAGAACAAAGAAAAAAAGGTTTTTTTTGGTTCAACAAAATAAAACAAATGTTTTCTTACCGTATGAAATATCATTATTAATTTTGGTCCTAATGTTTCTGATGCAAGAAATATGTGCAAACATCGCATATACCATAAACATAAATCAAGACTCATAAATATTCTGGTAAAATTTAAAAACAAAAAAAAAATTATTAAACATCATTTTTTTTTCTCTTTCTCATACTTTGATATTGCAAATACATAATCTTTGACAATAAAACGTGTAATAAAACCAATAATCCAAAAAGTAAAAGCAATAAAATCTAATACATTCCATGAATCATGCCTATAAAATGACCATATTGTATTACGATGACGATTTATTCCTTCTAATTTTGTCCAATAAGGAGATCTAACTAAAGTTGATTTAACATGTAAAATAATCTAAAAAGTTAATAAAATCAAAATTTTGAAATATAAAAATAATTGCATACTTGTCGAACTTCTTCTAATCCAAGTGATGCAAGAAATATATGTACAATTAATTCGGTTATTGGAATTGGTAATCTATAAATATTTGAACGGTGTTCATCATAAATATTCAATGGAAAATAATCAAATAATATTGTATAACTGAATAAAACCAGAAAAGCAGCATATGAACCCTAAATTTCAAGAGAAACAAAATTGATTAAAAAAAAAACAGAGAAAGAACTTGATTGTAATTACTTCTCAGTTAGTACTTATCCTATTATATAATTTCATGTCTGAAAATTCACTGCTTATGAGAGAACCTTCTCAGATGTTCTCTTTCAATTTCCATGATTTTTTTTTACCTATAAATACTACGAAGAGTTCTAATAAAACACAAAAAGGATTTGAATTTTGACTAGACTGTCGAATTTTTAATATGTTTATTTTCTGAAAGCTCCAAGTTTTCGAAAAACTTGTATTTTTGAATTTCGATTTGAAATAAAACAATTCAAAAGTTTTCAACAACGTCTGTTTGAGATATGAAGCTTTCAAAATATAGATCCTTTCTCACGGATACAACATGTATATTTTGAAAGTTTCATATCTCAAAAAGATTTCGTTTAAAACTTCTGATTTTTTTTTTTAGAGAAAGCTAATATAATTGAGTGCCATTATATACACCAAGTTTCACATCAAAATTCGATAGATTAGTCAAAACTCAAATCCTTTTAGTGTTTTATTAGAAGACTTCATAGTATCTATAGGTGGTAAAAAAAATCATTGACATCGGAAGAGGATATTGAATGGCACAACATGGAAAGATTTCGATTGTATTGAATCGAAAAGTTATGTTAATTTTTCATTTTCAATCATATGAAATTGCTTTGTGATGGTTACAAAAGTCTTTTGTGCTATTGTAATACTTCACTATTAAATTTAGTATAATCTAATCATTGGGAGATAATTGTGAGACATTCAGAAAACAAAAAATATTTGTCACTCGACAAGAATGCAACCGAGCAATATCAACTTTGTATAGTTCACCAGAGCAGTGTTTTATTCAGCATGACGGCACCCCTTTGAAAATTGAGTTACCCCTCTTGGAGTTTGTGATTATTGAAGAAAGTTCGATATATCTGTGCTCCCAAAAATAAGTGTTCGATCTTCCGAAAGAAAAATCTGTATAAAATACTGCACAAGAATTTCTGTTTAACTGAAAACAATACAAACCATATTGTAATGAAATGGAATAAATACATTTCCAAAATAAAATCGATGAAAAGGTTCAAATATATTTCTTATTCTACTTCGAAAGTTATTTCTTCGTTGTTCAGTCTTCTCTGTTTTATCCCATTGAAGAATTCGATTACGTATAAATGGAATAAATAATAATAATGGAAAAATACATACAAGCCACACCTATAATTGAAATAAATATCATTTTTTATTTCTTATAATTCATTCTTTCGTATGTTTTTTTATTACCAATATTTCCCATAGAAAGTTTCTATCTCGATGAAAATGCTTTCCATACCATAGTGTATTAGCAAACGATTGTATACATTTATTTGATACTAATGTTTTTGAACAAAGATCATCAATTAGAACTAATGCTTCTTGATCTTGATATAAAATTGATTTTTCAGATAAAAATTCAATTGTTTCTTCTTCACTATCTGCATAATACCGATCAAGTATATCAGCAGCATAGGTTTGAAATAATCTATAATATAACATATAAAATTCATTTAACTCACAAGGATAGGTCACCAACTGTTCAATCTCTTTTTATCCAAAACCTAATATGTTACACATAATCGATCATGCTGATTCCGAATATTAACATGATTTTTGCTATTAGATCTTCAAAGATAGGTTTTGCACAGTGAAAAACGTTTTTTTTGATCTATCTAGTTTGTACACCGTCTCGAGTTGAGTATACAAAAAAAGTTATTTTTTGTTTTCAAAAATTGAACCAATTACAGAGAGGGCTAGAGAAGTCTTATCTCTCACGCTAGATATAAACTGACTTACTTGCGATATTTTCGATAATCATTTGATGTTGTAGAATCATTTTGTTCTTTAAGTTGACACCATTGACTAACAAGTAACATAGCAATGATTGAATCCTTATATAGAGAAATAAAAAGAAATAAAGAAATTTTCTATTAGAAAAAATTTTCTTTATACTTCTAATCGAGTACAAATACTTGCAACAAGTTCAAAATATTCATTTTCAACAGACCAACAAAATAAAAGACGAAGATATGCTAGAAATATATTAATAAATAATACAATCACGAATATCTTTATATATATACTTTTAATTCGTCTATCCGAATCAAGATGTGTTACTAGAGAATGAGTTTCAACGGCAAACTCAACCTCACGACTGTCTATATGAGAGAAAAACGATAACAAATTTCTCTTTCTTTTTTTTTGTAAACATTTATTGAATATTTTATTCTTACTTTTCTTGTCAGGCTAAATATTAAAAAAGAAATATATATATATATATATTAAATTTTTTTTTTGTTTGTTTAATATAATTACTTTGATTTGGAAATGATCAACATTACCAATAAGAGCTAAACGTTGTAATGATGCACCATATTTAAATAATAATTCAACGAATGATACAGCATTTGAAAGAATTGCAGTTTCCAGACATACATCTAATTCGTCATTCTATTATATAGATTGTTTTTTTATTAACAGAAAAAAAGCACAAAAAATTATCTTACTGTCCAATCGATAATTGTATTATGATTGAGTATATACCTTTGTGCATAATCAATTTTATTTAATTGTATAGCAAAATTTAATTCCTTGATATGAACATGAGAATTATCAATAATTCTTATTGCTTTAAAAAAAAATAGATGAATGACGATTTAACAAAAAGAATGTTTTACTAACCAGAACGAAATGCTCGAAGAATACTTTCATCAATTTCATCTTTACCTGGTTGACAAACGAAGATAAGATTATTTTTATTAGCATTTATATGATGAGAAAATTTGTGAACATCTATTTCTGATAATAATTTTTCGTTAGATGATCTTGTACGTATAGTTTTATGTTCACTTTCGATTGATTCACATATAGCAGCTAATTGATTAGCAATAAATCCTGTACCCTTTCATATGAATATGAATTTAAAAGAAAAAAAACAACACTAAATTTTCAATTATAAATTTTTTACTTTTAAAATGATAGTTGGAATGTGTTTATTATTATAATCTATGATATCTGTTACAGATGAAGTATCGCCTGAATAAATAAATAAAAAAGTTAATAAAAATTCAACTGATGTTTAGTTTATTTTACCTTGCATAAGTAAAGCAACAATAGGAATTCGAGAAAATGCTTCTTGTTGTTGCATTTGACAAATAATTTTATCTATGAATCGATCTGTTGTAGTATGATATATTAAAAGTTGTGATTTTTCAAATGGCTAAGAAAATCAAACAAGAGATGAGTAGATATGAAATTCTGTTCGTTTTTTTTTCTAAATAAATTTTACTTCACATATAATAATATTTGGTTGTAATTCATTATCTTTAGTTGGGTTTTTGTCATAATCTACCAAACCAATCATTTCTCTAGTACCATTCAAAAGCCAAATATCTATTATATAAATGAACAAACAATGAAATTTCATAGAAAATTTAGAACACTTCTTTTTTTTCTTATCATAATAAAGATAACATAACTCACTAGTCTGCTCCATTATTGTGCACATAGACTGTTGAAATGCATTTTGAATTGATGCTCTCGGGGAATATTTAGTTTGTTCATTATTTGTACCGATTATTTTTATTATCACATTTGGTAATGATTCTCTAAGTAAATAATCACAAAATGCTTGTTCATCATCGTTATACGTTAAATTAAATCTTCGATAATTGGTTGAAAATGTATTTAAAGACTTTACAACTAAACTAAAAGTAGATCCATTTGTCTAATAAAATAAAATATGAGATCTTTGTGTTTTTTTTTTCGTTCTTGCAATGGTCAACGATTGATTTTCTTACTTGTTCAATTTCATCTTGTGTAGAAATATATTTTGGCATGTTGTCTGTTAATATCTCGTCAGAGATATACACACCAATTCTGCAATTTATGAAGAGAGTAAAAGAAAAAATAAAGGTTTTTATATAGTAATGATAACACAACAAAAGTAGAAAAAAAAATATAAATGATAACCGCCTTTAGTACAAGGTAAGTATGTTGTTGATGAATAAATCAAACATGATTCATCAATTGATAAAATCAATCTTAGTTTATGCAATATTCTTAAGGATATTTGATTGTCAAGTAAATTATGATAACTATCGATTTTCTTTTGTATTTATATTATATTTATTACAAATAAACTCTAGGACATATGCCAATATATTACTTATGATTTTTTTTCACTACACAAAATGTAACCTTGTAGGTCGATTTAAATTCTACTATTGGCAAAACAGAAATTTATTCCTATGAATTGTAGATAAGCGAAGAATACATATATCTATCTTCTTTGTATGAAGATTCAATGTTATAGAAAAAATAAAACATTACGATTTTGATTTCTGTTACGTCTAATACCTATGCTGTATATTTGTTGAAACCAGGATATAATTTATATTGATAAGATTATCGCTTAATCAAAATAAGCTGTACTCTCCTGAGTATTTGATGTACTCATTGATTCTTCTTTAGAATTAATTTCAACGACAAACATAAGTTTTTTTTTTACTTTTGATGTTACGATAAATACCTTCATTGTGTATTGATGTCTTCAACATCATATTGAATGAACTTGTAACGTATTCTTTATATTTGATGTATAGAATTTTGATCGATAAAATACCAGTAACAAAAAGTCAGCATATTTTTGCATTCTATTACGATTTAAGAGCATTCTTATGACAATAGTATCATGAATCAATCAACTAACGTAGTTTTAGAATTTTCTGAACATCGATTAAATTTTGTAAAAGCTCAGTTACCAATGTATCCTTATATTTTGCATTCAAAACAAAGATAAGAGACAATCTTGAGTTATCAAGTTTGCAATAGATTTTTTGTTTTCATATACGAGGTGTCTCAAAAGTCAGCGGTGAAATCAAATTGCAATAGCTCTTTAACGATTCACATGCGCTTTTCATCATTTCATAGGATATCATCTATAACTTTTGTTTCAAATGATCGACGTCTACTTTGAGACGATGAAAAGCTCAAAGTTATTGCAGTTTTATTTTATAATTGACTTTTGGAATACTCTCTATATTAGTTAAGATATTTTAAGAGATTACTATTATATTATTAATTCCTTTTTTTTGTGTAAGCTAAGATTATTTCAAAACAATCAAATGTTAGACCTTGAATGTTCATTTGAAATCGTCAGTGTATTCGAAGGCAAGATCTTAAAGATTTAAATCGAAATTAATAGATTCTAATGAGCTAAAATCATCAAATTTTGCTTACTTTAGGGACAGTATACAACTAGTTTAAGATCTTGTGTCTTTTATGAACTGAAAATTTGAGAGAACTTAGAATTCGCTGTGCTCTCTTGACAAAAAAAACAATCGAATAACTATATATAATATTTAAACAATACGTTTCAACGAACTTTAACGATCCATATTCTGGTAATTTCTTGTTAACTCAAGGTAATTTAGATATTGTTTGCATATTACTAATTCAAATATACATAATATTCTCGGAAAGATATCATATGTGACTAATTCTTAACCTTTAAATTGTCAAGTACAATAACACAATACTTTGAATGTATACCAAAGATGAATCAAACACACTCATTCATGGCCAGTATGATTCACATTTATGTTCTCTTGTTCATATATACATTTGGTTATTAGAATACAATTTTTCTCTATACACAATGATGTATATGAACAATATTACGCACGCGTGGGTCATACTGAATGTGGTTGAATGTTTTTTTTCTTGGGAACCGAAACGAGGACTACGAAAAAGTAAGCGCAAGAAAAATTCTGCAACAAAAAGTTAAAGACGTAAAAAAATTAAAATAAGAAAATCATCATTTGGAGAACAATTGATTCTGCTGACGAGGGATTCTCCTCAAATGCTTCCTTGCGATTTCAATCGTTTTTCCTCTCTTGAAACTTGATGGAGCTATATGTCTATTTGTCCGAGGATCCAGGTTTTCGAAACAATCATGCTTATGAATGATGTCTTGAGACTATCTCTACTCGAAGATCTTATACACAGTAGCTTGTATGAAGAGTTTCAGAGTTTGTAGCTTTCGTTTCTTTGAGATATGAACATTTCAAAATATTCCTGTATGACTCACTATACTTCGAAAAGTGTCTGTCTTTGAAAAGATCATAGCTCGGAGATACGAGATCTATAAACTCTAAAATTTATCATACAAGCTACTGTATATGGTATCTTCGAATAGGGATAGTTTCACCACAAAATTCAATAGCTCTGTCAGGTCTTAAATTCATTTAGAATTTTTAGTATAATACTATATAGATAGTATCCATAGGTATTAAAGTCACATGAAGGCAGCTGGAAAAATTCCCACCTGAATCGAATCGTATCGTATCAAATTATTTATTTATTCAAGTTCAGATTGGATTTTCTGAATATATTTGCTAATTAGATCAACTATTCAAATTTGAATAAGAAATCATAATAAACTTGACTTTCTTCTAGTTAATTATCCAAATGAACGAAAATAAAACAATTATTCACTACTACAAATGCATAACAGAAAATTTTTCTGTCGCACATTTTTAGTTCCTCAAACAGTAGCTACCGGAACTTTTTTTTTGAATTTTTCAATAAGTTTCTACGTATTTTGAGATAAATCTCACATACTTTCTCAATGCAAATGTACATACCTACAGTGTCGGTCGTTGAGATATTGACGCAAATAACAAATCCTGTAGAAAAAAAAAGTCCAAAAACATAATAAACCCCATTAATCCCTCTTTCCAACGTAGCAGCGATATCAATACACAGAACAACAAAATAAAAATGATGTCTCGTATTACAACAGGTATGCATAAATCTTTCAAAATATTTCTTTTTACTCGTGCAACTTTTTTCGTGTTTAGTTTTCTGTAGTCATCGTTCTAGTTTTCGAGAAACAAAACACTCAATTACAATATAGATATGATTCATTCTTGCATAACGTTGTTCATATACATCATTCTGTATACGGAGAAAAATTGTACTCTTTTGTTTTTTTTGCTGATGATTAAATGTGTATGAACAAGAGAACATCAATGTGAATCATAGTGACCATAGATGAATGCATTTTATTCATCTTTTGTATACATTCAAGATTTTATGTTATTTTATCTGACAGTTAAATATAAACAATAAGACACATATGATTTCTTCTAGAAATCTCATATATGAGCAAACATGTGTATCTCAAGATAATGCACTTTTCTAGAGCTCATTTTTATATGTTATATAAATATTAAGTTACACTATATATCATGAAAATATCAACGCTAGATACTTATGTTTAGAGAAGGTATCAGTAAAAAACCAGCATTAATGACTCGGCACAAAAAAGAACATTGACTTTCACTTCATGCATTTTAGTTTAAAAAAAAATTTGAAAATAAGGTAAAACTAAATAGTACATTCTGTAGACATAAGAATGTGCGGTATCAGATTAGTGAACATCGATTGGCACCGATAGCAACGCTCAGTGCACACCGATAGACTCAGTGTCACTGAGCAATGAAATTTCAAACAAACTGACACTAACGTCATTGGAACACCGATGACCAGTACATCATGGATCATTGATGCACCGACATCCTCAGTGTCACTGGTAAATCAGGCACACTGACTTCACTGACACATTAATGTTAATTTTCATTGACTGTAATTCATAAGTAGAGGATCATGAAATCTTCGAGATAAAATATTATGATATGTAAGATGTTCTCATTGAATGAGAAACTATATCAGCTGAATAGTTTATTAAATGTATTTCGATTGAGGTAATCTACATACACTTGTATGTGCATACACTTTCTCACCTTTGCATTTAAAGGTTACAGTAAGTCTCTGCACTATAAAAGAGGAAGTTAAATATCAGCCTATTTCAGACATTTGTATATGTTTATATTTGAAGAAAGAAAGAAGAATTTAAACTTTTTTTCTTCAATAGTTTTGATTTCAAAAGTGACATAATTTAACTCTTATCACAAATGATACGGTATTACAGATGAAATGAATACACACAATCTTGCATGAAAATTTGTATTAAAATACAGAACAACTAAATAATATTGAACTCTTTTTTATGTATATGAATGAATTCTATGATTTGGTAGTTTTTGCCGATATAAAAAATAATAAAACAAAGAATAATACGTTATTCAGTTTGATTGTTCGCGATGAAAATCTTTAATTCAAATCAACTCAATTTGGAAAAATAGTTTGGTTACTCTTATTGATCATCTGAAATCTATAACACTGTTTCTTGCAGTTAGTATAAAATATTCATAATTTTTTTTTTCTCAGATATGAAAGAATTATTGAAATTCTCAATTTTAACAGATTTGCTTTATAAAAGAACATTATCATTTTTTTCGAAAAATTTTACAAAGTATTAGATTACAAAATATTCCTTTGTGAAACTTCTAACAAATGCTTTGGTCCAAGGTTCCATATTGATCAGTCCCGATCTGTAGAAAATTTCAATAATCCATCCATGTTATTTATATGCACTATATCAATATACAAATACGTTGAGAATATTTTTTTTTACTTCCAAGCGAAGAAACACTATTTTTTACATTTTAATATTTTATCAAGATACATCGACATGTTAGACTTCAGATAAATATTGATCTTGATAACTCATTCGAAAATTGAGTACGACTATATATAAAAGAGAAGTTTTTATTTTCTCCACTATTGACATGATACTTTACTGTTTTCAACATATAATATTACATTTTTCTTCTATCGTTACATGTTTTGAATTAAGCAGAAATGGAAAATCGAATGAACTCGAATGGATAAATCATCTTTAAAAGAGGAAACATCATTCTATTTAAAATAAGACAGATAGAGATAAAACTGAAAAATTCTTATAATAAGAAAACAACAGATATTTTACTCAGAGGCTATTCCTATAGGTAGGAAAGAACGTGCCCGTTTAACGGGTGAAAATCTATCGTCAAGCGTCTTTCTGAAAGACAAAATAAACTTTTGAAATCGATCTTGATTTTTAACTGTTTTGTTTTTATTAATTTTCTTGTTCTATATTTAGTATTGGTGATACTTATCATCTAAAAAGTTGCTTTTATTGTGCAGATGTTTCTTTGTTTATGCCTATATATATTGGATTCTCTTTAATATATGTTTTATTCTATCCTACGTTTTCATTTTATTTATCTTGATCTTTGAAAGACGCATTTACTTTTATTTTCACAAAACTGTCTTTCTACAAAATTCATTTGTTGATGTGTTTTTTTTTTGTTGAAGATTTTCATTTATAACGTATTATCTAATTCTTCGACGAAGATGTATTATTCTTCTTCACATTTTTAAAAATAAAGCCATTATTTCTCTTGAAAAAACACGTATATCTAGTTTATGATTGTTGTTTGTTTATTTCAAGTACATATCTTGCAGTATTATATAACAACTAATTACAAGAAGTCAGTGGAGTCAGTATATCTGATTCACCAATGACGCTGAGAATGTCAGTGCCAGTTTGTTTGATATTTCAGTGCTCCGTGATACTAAGTCTATCGGCGTGCACTGAGCGTCGCTGTCGGTGACAAAAGTGTCGGTTTTTTCGATTTTGTCACTGACACTGCATATCCTTCGTCAAGAGAACACAGCAAATTCTGAGTTTTCGAAAGTTTTTAGTTCACAAAAAAAGAGATGAAATCTTAAAATAGTTGTATACAAAATCTCCACGTTGGGTGGGATGAGATGAGACAGAAAATTTTATATCATTTCATAATTTTATCATAATCAAGTTCACATTTTCTTTTACTTATTTTTACAATAGAATAACATATATTATTCTGTCTATGAATGTAAACTGTTTTTAATTTTATTTGAGTTCGAAACCTTCGAATCCATCGCAGATAATTTATTCTTTGTGTTTTTAATGGCTTCATTATTTGATGAATCTTTTTTTAATAAACGAATAGTTTGTTCAGTTGTAAATTCATGAACAATTGATGAAGAATCAATATTAGAACATGAACATGAAGTGATGATAGAAGACGAAGACGAATCATCCAAAAGATATACTATCGATTGTAAGTTAGAGGAGAATCAAATGATTTGTTAATTTGTAAATTGTTATTTGTTTATCGCATTCTAATAGTTAAAGTGCTTAAATTTATTTCTCACTTGTTTGGCTCGAATAGACGAGAAAGATGCCTATTTCGAAATAAGTGTGTTGTTCTTAATAAAAAAAAACTTCTGTCGATGATGTTTTTTTTTCCATGGAACCAATAGGATTGGATTGTTGCATCCCTGTTGTCACCTTCATTTTATTATGTTCCTTGAATAACAAAAAAAAAAATTGATAATTTTTTTTGTATGAGATCCTTTCATCAAGACTGCCAACTTTGGAATATAATACATTGAAAGTAATACTTATATTAAATCTCTTTGTATTTTTTCTATAGATAATATTCTTACAACATATACGAATATCGTTAAATATATTTTTTGACAAGATTAGATCAAAAAATTAAATCGTTATGTTTAATACAATAAAAAACACAATAATATATTATCATCGTTCATTGTTTTCGCTTTCTGATTGTTCTTGATTTGAATTATTTATTTGTTGTTGTTGTTGTTGTTGTTGTTGTTCATCATCTAGAATAACACTTGTCGGAGAGTTGATTTCTATTACTGAAACAAAATAAAATGAAATAATTATTTATGAATATTTTCAAACAAAATTTCTACTTGAAGTTGTCTGTAGTTTTTTAGAGTTTGTTTCTTGATGATGATATTTTCGTTTCGTAGATGATGATACTTGTGTTGGTAATTCATTAACATCATCATCATCATCTTCAGACAAAACAATCAGACTTGGAGTTCTTTCAATATTTGGTTCAACATATTCAACTATTTCACATTCAGGTGATGATGATCGATGTTCAGATTCTATTGTTGTTGTTGTTGTTGTTGTTGTTTGTGGTGAAGAAATAATATCAATCTAAAATATTTTTAATAAATACAATAGAGTTTGTTGCTTGTTTTTTAATTAAAAAAATCTTACAGTATCTATTGACAATACATCAGGAGTTTCATCAAGTATAATTGGTGTATGTTCATTTCCATCATCATCATCATCATCTAATGAAATTTCCATAGGTGGTATGACTAATGACGATGAATTTAATGTTGGATATTGTGCATGACGATCAAAACCAGCTAAATCATATGGACAACGACAAAATGTATAAAATTCATGTATAAAATGTTTTGTATAATGTCCAAGAAATTCATTTAATTTTCTTGCTAAAAAATTTGAACGTATATCATGTAATTGTATAGTTGTTAAAATTTCTTGTATAATATATTCAATTGTTTGTTCATCATGCCATAATAAAGCTAATAATTCACGTGTTAAAAATGGTACAAGACGATGAAGACAAGCTGGATTTGATGCATACCATGTTGGTGAACATTCTCGTATAGTTAATGTATCATGATTATGTCCAATTAACGGACTACGAACATATAAATGATTTATATAAATATATTTACGAAATGCAACTGTTTGCCGTGTTGATTGAGAATATATTGTTGATTGTCGTAATTCTGATCTTGTTTGACGTAAATAACGTTGAAGAACACGACGTATTGAATCAAGAGGAATTGCATTTGACCATGATGAATTTACTGAACGATTTGATGATGAATAAGAAGAATTTCTTGAATTGTTACTTAAAAAAAAAAAGACAAAATTATTTTAATTTATAATTATTTAAATATTGTACTTTGGTCGACGAACAAGAGCTTGTAATGTATTTAACCATTCAATATAAACCATTTGTCGAAATAAATCATTTGAATTATCTGATCTTTGACGATGTTGATCAAACCAATTAATAACATCATTAAGATTAGTAAATGTTGGTGGTGGTGGTAATGTTGATCGTCGTGTTGTTTGTACACGAATTTCTTCAACTATTTCACCAGAATAACGTTCACGCGTTATTAAATTAAATGGTTGTTTACATAATGGACATATAGCACGAACTTTCGACCATTCAAGTATACAAGAAAAACAAAATGTATGTGAACAAGAATCAATTCGTGCAATAACATCTGTTTGTTTATTATTTAAACAAACAGCACATTTATCTGGCGTTGGTGGACGAACAGAAACAAGTGCAAGTAAAGATTCTTGATCTAAATTTGTTGAAGATTTTGCTAATTGATCAGTCATATTTGATTGTTCATCGATATTCATGACAAAAAAAAGAACTATCTAAATGAGGACAAAAAAAAAATATGACGTCAAATGAAGAGAGAAATTGCTTACATTTATATATGTCGAAAAAAAAACGTAGTAATAGAACTAATGACTCAATAAACTAACAAATCAAAATCAAAATAGCAAATAAAATGGAACATTCCATCAGTGCCACTGTCATTGCATTTTTATATGCAACATAGCGCTTCGATCATGAGTTACATAATTGAGAACAAACAAGAAAACTAAACATTTATGTTAGATGTCGTTAGTTGCCGAGCAAAATATTTTAACCGAGTATTAAGGTTTAATAGTGGTACAAAATTGATGACGTTTATTTATTTCACTGAAGGATGTCCTCCTAAGGTCACTAAAATTGGGGTTGGATCACCCTGACTTATTTGTTTTACAAGATATAAAAGATTTTTTAATCAAAAATCAAAACCATACAACTTGATTACGTTGTGTCTCATAATTTTGTTTAGTTAACCGTATTTAACAACATCTCAGAAGTTTTTTTTTTTGTTTTGAGATCATCGGATAGAACGTAAATTACTCTATAGAACCGTATTGTTTTCATTTTATTGGAAATTCGAAAGGCAGCCATGAAAGATTGCTTTGTTCTGACCACTTCTCATGTGTTTTTTTTCTGAGACGACTACTATATTAACTTTTTTTCTTTTACATGTAACGGATGTGACAGAAGAAATTTCCGATTTTCATTAGACTATTGTTTCAAGTTAGAATGAATCGTAAAATTTCGTTCGAATGTTAAATGTTAGAGAATTTTATGTCAATCTTATTGATATACTCTTTTTAAAATAAGTATTTGTTCTTCTAGAATCAAAGATACTGGATATCCCAAAAAAATTATTTACTCAACATTGTACCAAAATAAAACTTGTCGTTGTTGTTTGTTAAATTATTTTACAAACAGTATTCAAACGTAGTATGAAATATAATAGAAATGTATCTGTTTTTCAGATAATTAGTTTGTGGTAAATATAAGTCTTGAGAAAATTATTGTCGAAAAGTACAATTCCGTTGACCGATGCTGTTTTGTATTTTTCATGCAGAAACAACTACTCTTATTAAAATCAAACAAACCACTAGATACAACGAAAAATTCGACATCTCTCTTAGTATCAAAAACAAATTTATGAACTACAATTAACCGTGCAAAAATTGATGTTCACAATTGTTTCATGTTGCAGTTGAGCAAATGATGCTTTTGCAGTATCCAGTAGAAAAAAAGAGAAATACTTGTGTAATAAATTTGTGATTTTTATATGAACTTGTCAAAAAACATGGTGTAACAGGACAGTTTATCATAATCAACAGTTGTTTTACACTATGTTTTTGATGAATTCATACAAAAATCGCAAATTTATTGCGCGAATGTTTTTCTTTATTTCGCCTTATTTAATTTACAAATGTATAACAAATATAAAACGTATACTATTCGAAAGAGGAGAAAGTTTCTTATCGACTACTGAAAAAATATTCCTTTCAAAATATGTTTATCGAAGAGGTATAAGGATTCATATGTTGTGTTGTAATTTATAGAGAAAGTGCAGACTCCTTTTTGAGGGTGGTTCTCTCTGCTTTTACACCGTTTCTTTTATGAATATGCGATAAAAACAAGTCATTCATGATTCAAACATGTGTTCCATTGCTTTTGCACTAGGTATTATATTAAAATCTATAGCTTAAAGATTTCGAGACTGAAATCTCAGTTGTTTCCTCCTCGGAGAAAACAGTCTAACAAAAACTGGAAATTTCTTCTGTCGCACTCCTTATATTTATTGACTTTTTCTTCAAAGAAATTTTGATTGTATAAATATATAATTTTTCTTTATATAATATACAGCGGGATGGAGTACTAATTTTTTTTTCTCTCGGCTCTTATAATTGTCATTCAGACTTACATTGCGTTTTTTTGTGAATGTTAATATAAACGTAGTTGTTTTTTTATACGTCCAAAAATGGGACAAATTTCGACAGTAAAATTCAATTTTCTGCTCAATTTCGAATTAGTTTTACTCTATATTTTGTGCACACTTAATCAGATTTAATAGATCTCTTCCATCTAAAGTAATTTTTATCATTAATGAAGTGATTATGATTAAAATGCAAACATGCAGAAAATATGTTTCAGTGCATCTTAGAATTTATAATAAGATGAAAAAACAAATAAAATAAAAACTATGTAGTTTGACAGAAACAACTGATGTTCTATCTAATTGTATTAAAAATAAGAAAGATTTCAAGATACAGTAAACTAAATAAAACTATGAAAAATAAAATAATTAATTAAATTGTTTGTTTCTATATGTAAGAAAAAAAAAATTTTATGTAAAGTTTGCATAAACATTCTATTTGCCATTTCGATCATCGAGCCATGAACCAGAACCTGATGTACTAGCCTGTACACATTTTCCTGTATTTTTATGGCACACATAACCAGAACAACATGATTTAGAAAATAGACCCTTACATGATGCACGAAGTCCACCACATCCAAACATTCTAGATATATAAATGAATAATGTACATTTATTTAAAATAAACTTCAAATTTTTAAATTAAAATATCATATACCTTCTTTCATAATTATTCAAATGTCGTACTCGAGCATAAGCATAATTTGCAATAATCATTAGAACGCATAGACAAACAAAAAAACGAATGTTGATTATCATTTTTGCTATTGAAATATGTATGAAGAAAAAAAAATATTATTAAACCTTTTATATAACAACATATGCTAGAAGATTGCAATAGCAAAACAAATACACTTCGAAGCAAATATATTCATTTTCAAAAAGAAAAAAAGAAATCGCAGACACTATTATAAATAGTACTGCTTTCATCAGTATGAATAATCCAATGAAAAAAAAATAGCATTAGGTTTTATTTGAAGTAGAATGGCAATATAACGATTTGACTTAATATAATAGATGAATTCGTATACTTTTTTATCAATTGATTATTTGTTTTGAGTTTATTGGTCTTGTTCTGTACATAGAAAAAGAAAACTTTTGTAACTATTAGATTATTCTTTCAATAATAAACAAAGTTCTTACGATTTTTTCACACACATACTTAGGAAAGAAATATAAAGTCCTACTAAATATTATTTGTAACATTGTATAGCATCAGAAATTCTAGTTACAATGCATTGCATTATTGAAAGACTTCATAAATATTTAATAAAGATTATAACAGTAGATTGTTTGTATTTTCAATGTTGTCAGATCAAAGTAAGAATTGTCATTCTAGTTTAGAATTGATGATACTGAATGTGCTTCAAATGACTCTGATAGATACTAAACAATCGGAAAAACGTTTGAAAGTTTTGATTAGAAAATGAAAAATTTTTATCGAATTCATTAATTAGCTTAAATTTTTCATTATTGATCTAATATGTTTGTCTTCAGTTAACAATGTTAAAAGAATTCTATACAATTCAATCTTTGTGAGCAGTTAGATAAAATCATATTGAAACTGGTATTCCTGGTACAAAATGATCGAATCATTGATTATAATTTACACGTTTGTAGCAATGAAAAGTGTCCGATATAATTCATACAACAAGATTTTTAGAAATACGTCCGTAGATGCTAAACACACAAGTTTTAGACATAAAATTAAGTTCTTAATATCTTTATTTACTTCAAAATTATTAACCTTTTTTTATCATTACACTGCTATGAAAATGTTACAAAGTTGTATGTAATCACTTTCTTGTTCGCTTCGTTTTATTGTAACCCAAAAGCACAGATTGTTTTTCTTTCTTCCTATAAAAATTGTCGATCGGTGTACATATCTCTATAATGAGAAGCAATATAAACAATTTAGCACAAGGTACACGAAATTAATTATGATGGCCTATACATCATTTTTTTTTCTTTAACAGTAGTCAGGTAACTTTTGTATGTATGACGAACGTGATTTTATATAAATTGAATATTTCTAAGGTGTTGTGATTAGAAAATTTCTTTTTATTAGACGATATTTTTCGATTCCTTTTATGAGAAAAGATTGACGAATTAAGGCATTAAAAATCTAGGATCGAAAAAAACGATGTTTTCCAGTTTATTCGACAGTAAACAAATTCTTGTAATTTACTTAATAACTTATTTATTTTCTTTTGATTGAAAACATGTATTAATAGTTGTCTCTTATTTTTAACTTCAGATATATTTTTAAAATGACTTCAAATGATAGAATACTCTCTGGATCAGAAGATTCAGGAAATACTATTTTTTCGGAAATTGAATCAATATCCGAAGAGTTTATTGATATCCCGATAACTACAATAGAAAATCAAGATACATCCATTTGTCAACAACTTTTTGATAAATTTGAACATTTTAAACAAGAAATAACAATGTTATCAGATTCTGAAAATATGAAAAAACAATTAAATCAATCGATATGTCTTTAGAATGAACTATTGAACATGGCAAACAGTGTTACCAAGAAAAATAAATTTTGTTTTGATGCAAATCGTGCTGTAGTTACAAAAGTATTTTCTGATATCAATGAAACTGATTTATTTAATAATGATAATAATTTTTCACGACAAATATTCTTTAGCTATTTAGATCTTCTTAATACATATAAAATTCAACAGTTTTTAACAGCATTATCATCATCTACATTAGCAGATTCTATACGTGAATCGAATATTTATATATTACTTTTTATCCTATCAACTTTGTGTAGTTCTGTACTCTTTGTTGACAGTGATATTAGCGATCAGTATAATTCTTTATTGAATGCTATGCGACTTCATGTTAATCAGAATCTTCAAAGTACGATATTGCAGCAAAATATGAATGAAAAACATATGACTGTACATTAACGTATTTTATTGTTGATATGGGGCTTAAGTGATCGTACGATATGTCGTTCCATCTCTGTTACGTGCTGGATGTGGTAAAAGTGTTATTGAATGGTTAAACTATCCAACATTAACTGAAACTGCACGTCGACCTATAGTAAGTATTGTACATAACTTATCGAGACATGATAATGATGCTGATGAACTTAATAAATATGGAGCTATTGAAATTATAAATCAAATGCAACAACTTGATAATGTACGTCAATCAACAACGTTATTAATTAATACAATGACATTAGCTCTTCTTTCAACTCCAAATCAAATAAAAACTGATCCAAAAGGAATTAAACCTATACTTGATGAACTTCTTCAAATAACTATTCACGCATCAACTGCAGAAAAATATCGATATAATGGTTTTCATGTATCTGAACCACTTGCAGTGCTTGTTAAATTATTTATTGATGATACAACTTTTGATTATGTTATGAATCAAGCAGAAACTAATCCTCCATCGAATCTAACTTCGACAATTAAATTATTTTCCGATTTACTTATTTCTTTTCATGTTAAACTTATAGAAAAAAATCGTCTTGAACAATTTACTTTCATAGTACTTTTCAATATTCTATGAAGTATTTCATTTCATGAAGTTTATCATTCTATACTTAAACAACACATAGAACTTATGAACATAATTCAAAATTTAGCTAAATATGATTATCAAATTATAATTGAACAATATGTATCTCGATCAATGCAATGTATTAAGAAAGCTGCTGATGGTATTTTATTTAATCTTGGTTTTGAGATACCTTCGATTGCAATACCTATTGTACATTCAATAGCAATGCAACAAAAACCTATGTTTATGTTGAGTTATTCTCATATTAATAATGATTTTTGTGATAAAATACTTGAATTACTTGATCAAAAAATTGATTTATTCAATGTATGGATTGATAAACGATATTGTAAGAATAGTACAGATATTTGGGAATCTATTGCTAAAGGTATTAAAACTTCTGATTTGATCATATGTATTATATCATCAGAACATTTAACAAGTAAAGCATGTCGTCAAGAAATAATCTATGCAAAAGGTCGACTTAATAAACGTTTTTTACCTATCTATCTTGGAAAACCCGATATAAGTGATTGGTCAGGTAAGACATGCCATATACAAATATACCTTTTTTCTCTTATTGATCAAATTTCTTTTGATATAGATATTCGTCTTGCCGAATTCAAATATGTTCGTTTTCAAAATACACATTTGAAATTGGATGAACGGAAAGTAGAAGAATTTTTATCAAGAGTAGTAGAATCTATATCATCAGAACATTCAACACAAAACAATATAACTATTAAACATCATTATACGCCATCAATTTTTCATGAAATATCTAAGACAGAAGTAATAAGATCTCAAACAATCTCACAACCTATTGAAACAGTTAACAATAAAAATAAACCTGTATTGCAATAGACTCAAGATGATATTCATTATTAGTTTGCAAAACATGATATCTGTTCAGAAATCCGCGACATTTATCAATTTAAGACTGGTGCACAAATGATTACTTATGGAGAATATTTAAAAGATGGATGGTAAAAACAATATAAAAGATATACTCTTCGATATGCTCAACGTTATCCACATAAAGAATTACATGAACATGAATTCGCTCTCTTTACCAGTGCACTAAAACAGTTATTAAGTAAGCAATTGTTTATTGAATTATAAAAAAATTGATAAACTTTGAGATTATGTTGTTTGTTAGTCTAAAATAAATAGTTAAATGAATTGTTTTAACGATCGATGAAGAGATGATTTAATATAGTAGTTTTTTTTTTATCTATTTTCAGTTGAATCTGAATCACATAATAATTCTACCAATCAACAACTCTCACATGGAAACGTAAGAATTGCTACTGATAGATCACAAAAATCATGTTCATGCGTTTTGATTTAAATGTCATATGAAACAAAAACTGAACTTCTCGTACGACTTAACTATAATATAAAATTTTATTCTCTAGTATGACTGTGTGGTTATTACTTTTTCTTCATATATATATATCGGAGTCACCTTTAAGATGTGAAGTAGTAAATATTTATTGAATAGATAAAGTTGAGAAAAAAGAATGCACATTGAACAAAGACATAACAATAGTGAGTAGGGTGTAGGTGTGAGTGTCCCCTCTGCACATTCACACAGTATGTATCTAGACGGACATTTAGATAAGAATTAAAATCGCGCTTTTTCAAGATCTAAATATAGGGAAATATAGTCTATCTAATAGTATAAATAACTTTGTTACAACCCTCAAAGACATCGAAAAACTGGTTGTCCAAAAATTATTTTAAAAACCGTGATGTCATCAGGAAAAAATATATGTGATGAAATTAAACTGTTTAACTGACAAATCAAGTACATTTTCTGAATCTCCAAATCGAGCTGTATACAATGTTAAAAAATATTTTTTTCTAGTGTCGTTCCAATAGCTGGTACCGTAAAATGAGCAATGCACCCAAATCCAACCTCCATATTTTATCAGAAAGTCCTTCTATTTACTGTCTTTAATCCTTGTTAGCACATACATTCCTACACTACACAGTAGGTTTCCAAAAAATCTAGGGTTTTCAATTCTTCTTGCTTTGGAAAAATATTTAATTGACAAAAGTAGTACATTCAAAACCAGCACATTAAACTACATCGAATGATATATAACATAAAGTAATTTTGAAAGAAAAATGAGGATTCGGGTCTCCCTCAGGCACTTTTCGTCGAAAAACTTTATTTCCCAAAAAAAAATTTTTCTTTTTCTTAAAAAAGCGTTTCTGCGTCATATTCAATCATTTCCGAGCAATAAAGTCCTATGTTCGCCCACCATGCGAAAAATATATCCTGTGGTCCACACTCATAACTTCAACAGAATTCTGTACTAAATATATAGAGTGTACATTTAAGTTTTTTTTTTATCTTGGACAATTGTTCTATCGACAAAATAGAAACATCTCAATGACATCACACTAAGCGCGAAGATCAAATCCTATTGTATATTTATTCGTTGGAAAAGAACCGTTATAAACATGAAGAAAAACGACATGTAAAAGAAAATTTATATTCGAGATTAATGACAATGACGAAGCAATATTTAAAGATAGTCCAATAAAAAGAAAGAGGAAAAGCTCATGGAACGAAAGTGAATATTCCTAAGGCGCGACGAAATACTACAAGAGAGAACAAAACAAAAAACGGAAAGAATAGCATAGAGAAATACACATTTTATTCTTGATAAATCATAAAAATGTTTATGATTGCGTCAAAAAAAAGGTATAGATCATAATGGTAAAGTGAAGCAAGACAGTAACAATCAATGTTGCGAGTAATAATATCTCGCCGTTCTACTATCATAATATACAACTACGAGAAAACAAATATAATTTGTCAAACCATTCTGTTGTTTTTATAGTCAATGTCTATGAAAATTATTTCATCGTCAATTAATATGTCAAGTAAAATGAATATGAAAACCTACATCATATGTCGTTCGTTAATAAAATGTTCTCATAACTAATATTTTGAAGATATTACTAAATATGACGATTAGTGCTCATACAATGACATCAATTTCAATTGTTTCTACTTGATGTTGATTATTAAATCTTTACATTTCTATGGAATTTCTACTAGTTTGAGAGTTTTTGATGAGCATCTATCAAAACGTGTCTCAATCATTAATTCATAGATGAGATTTGTAAAAATTGTAATATTTTTTTCTTAAAGGATTAATAATTCATCAAATTTTCGTATAATATTTTATAGCAATTGTGATAGAAAAGCATAGTTTTTATTTGACAAAAATACATATATGATATAGTATTATTCTCATTCATGTTGTTTGATTAAAAACTTGCACGAAAAAAAAATTCTACTCATTTGGAAGAGAGATATTTAATGGAAATAAACAAGTCAAACTTCTATAGAATGGAATGGCAACGTGTTCGTTTCCTCGAGAATTAACATCATGTTCGACTCTCCCTTCAATAGCACTATGTTTATATGATTCCGTTCTATTCTACACATCTCAAGTAACTCGTTTAGCAATGATTTATACATTCTTCTTGTATACCAAAGTGGTTCGATGCTGCAAATCATCGCCTATGACTTATGTTATCTTTATTCATTATTTGATGTATTTTGCTTTAATTGCTTTCGGTCTTCATAAGTTACTTGTAATTAACACAATGTTTCTTTAGATCTGATCATGAATAGAAGGTTAAATAAACCGCAAATAATCAAAGTCCAATATCTATTCATATATCTTTTATACAACGATAAAAATCAGATCAAAATAATAAATTACAGTACAGTTGATACAATAGTCAAGGTCACATTATAACCATATGAGATCAAGAAAAAAACTAAACATTGACTATATAATATTCTTCTACAATTGTTCTAACATTTTGAAAAATGTCAACAACATTTGAATATTGAATATCAATAGAGAATTTATTTTCTATCAAAGAAGGTTATGAATAACAAATAATAAAAATATTATTTTCATGATACATATCGTTATATGATAGTTATTTAGTTCAAAATAGTTATTAACAATAATCTTATTGACAGGATTTTTTTTCAATGTATTATTATTATAACCTTGTGAAGTGTTTATGAATATTTTAGGTTAAGAAAAAAAAATATCAATGTAAACCTTAATTACATTCACTTAATAGAAATAAAATAACAAATAGCTGATTGATCAGAAAGATAAAGAGTTTTAGAGCTAATCAAATACAATAATTACATCTTGAAAGACATGCTTTATATTCTGTTTTTACTTCATCAGTAATTTTGTTTAGTTAATTTGTTTGATGATTAATATTTTTTTCTTTGTATTTTTTTGACTTCTTTTTTTTACTGGCATAATGAAAAGCAGCTTTTTTCTGTATTTATATAACAAAATCGAAAGTTTACTAGCTAGTTTTTGTAAACATTGTACTGCAAAACAAAATAATTATTATCTTTGCCTTTGAATTAATCAGTGTAGAAATGATTGTCTATTCTTCCACATAACTTTAAGCAGATTTCTATGATATAATGTTCTTTTTAATAATATTATGTTCTCAGTTAGAGCTATCGGCGAAACTCAAAGATGTCTACCATAAATATTCTGAATAATTATGTAAACATCTGTTGATCTACCAGTAAATATCACATTTTGAAAGCAATCAGTATATTTTATCACAATGTATATACAAGATAGTAAATAAATATCTACATATAATCATTGTTTCCTATTGAAATCAATTTATAATTAAAAAAACAAAAAAAAAACAAAAAAAATTATAACCAAATATAAAGAAAACGATAATTATTCTTATAACGAATAAATTTTTTAAGTTGAATCAACATTGATTGATTCCAATCTTGATCAAGTGCAAAAAGTTCCAGAAACATTAAATACTTTAAATAATTGTCATTATTATTATTATTATATTGTCCAATCATCGTTAATAAAATTTTATCAAACGAATGTATTTTATTATCAATAGCAAAACTCATTGAATGTAAATTAGGAAAAATAGGTATTAAAATATTTTTTAAATAATCAATTGATATACTTTCTGTTAAAGCTAATTGTAATTTTTTAATTTTTTTCATATTTTGACGTATTATTTCATTAAATTGACATGATATTAAATGATTTAATGGTAATGTTAATGAATTTAAATTTGTCATTTTAGTTAATAATTGCACAACAAAACCATTTTTTATACATGTACCATATAATTCGAAATGTTTTAAATAAACAAATGATATCGATTGTTTTAATAATATACGTGACTGATGTTCAATTGGTGTTAGATTATCATAAAGACCTAAATAAAATGAATGAACAAGTGGACAACGTATTATATGTTGTTGTTGATGAAGTATTGTTTGATTTAATACTAAATCAAAATGACGTATACGTGAATATGAATCATGAATATTTGTTAATGAAGATTTATTTATATAATTATTTAAATGTGATTTTATAAATGGTATTGTACATATAATATGTTTATAAGATGTTATTTCATAAATAATTCGAATATTATTTTTAAGAAAAAAATTTAAATTTTGAAATTTTTTTGTTATTAAAATTAGATCACGTTGTGAATCTATATTTATTGATATATGTAAATCGAAAATTTTTAAACGATTTAATTTATTTATAAATAAATTATTCCAACGTTCAATATCAATATGTTCATTATCATAGGATGATTTTAAACCAGTTGTATATGTATAAATAAATGATATTAAATTAGGACATAAATTAAGAAGATTTTCAATATATTTAAATGATATTGAACATACATTTAATTTTAAATAATTTAAAAATTTTAAAGATTTTTGAAAATTTTCTTTTGAATTTATTATTATTGAAGAATTTTCTGATATATGACATGTTAAATGTTTTAAATAAATCATTGAATATAATAAAATAAAAAGACAATTGATATTTGATATTTTAAGATTTAATTCTTCAATAAAATAAATTTTTTCTGAAATATTTGCTGATAAAAAATCAATTTGACAATTTGATATTCGACATATACGTAAAGTTTGAGGAATAAATTCTATTGGTATAATTAAATAATCTGTTGTTTTAATAATTAAAGTTCTTAAAAATGGAAAACAAGAAATTAATTTTATGAATTGTTCTATTGTTGGTTCAATTAAAATTAATGTTTTCATTTGTTCTTGTTGATAATATTTTGATTGTTCAAGATAATAATTAATTCCATCTATAGTTTGTTTATTTGATAATTTTATTGAATATATTTGTTGAGAAAAATTTGGTAATATATAATGACATGTAAATAAAAATTTTTTTTGTTGTACATATGATAAATCAAGATGAAGATGAATACCATCAATTATAGAATTGAAACGTTGATTTAAATTATAAAATGAATATATTAAATCACAACTTGATATATAATCAAAGATTTCTAAGATAATTTCATCAGGCATAGATTCCAAATTCATATGATGCATTGTTGAAATGAGAGAAACGAAAAAATTTATCTAATCGTATCTGCCACTGTTGATCAGTTAAAGGTGAACAATGACAGAATGATAGATAAACAAAGAAAAGAATAAAAAGAAAAAGAACTAGTAGGTAATTTTTTTTTGTATTTCTATTCTCATGATAATATCCTATCGCACTATTACACAAGGTGACGCTATACAATAGGTTGCTAGTTCAGTTATGTAATCCTTACTGAATAGTTTACAATAGTCTTTCTTTTTTTCTTGCTCTTGCACTATTGTTTGAACACAAGCAAAACCTTTCTTTTCGCGGTTACTGCTACAGATTAACTGTCAGCATATGTAGAAACAAATGTCCTTGTCAATATCCGATACACGTACTAGGAATACAAAAAAAAAAGAAAGAAAATAGATATACATCAGACCTATTACCGAATAAGGCAGGAGCAAAAAAAAGACATGTTATGTTGTAGATGATAAAGTGTATAATTAACCCTGACACTCGTATTTCGAATAAACATATCCCTGCTGGTCTTGACACGTTAGTAAGAAAAAGATGATGAGATTTTGGAATAATTAATCGTGTTTTGGCCAAAAAAAAAGAAAGAAAAATTAGAGTCTGTGATCAGTTTCGAATTAATAAGAGTAAAGGCATGATAAAAGCGATGGATATAGGTAAATAATAAGAAATTAGAAATGATAAAAGAATAAAAAAAAATAGATGAACAAATAACTTTATAACGCCTTGTTCATACATATCAATATTGACATAATTCGTGACAAACAAAAAAAAACACAATACTACAAAATTAAAATGACACTTGTGAATTTAGGATTATTCAAAGATAATTATTATGATTATTTGACTTGAATAAAAAAGAACAGGAATTTGATCAGATATTATTTATGATTATAGACGACGAAGCCAGTTTATAATCTACAATAATTCTAAAAGTCTTATTTTTTCTTTTCTTTTAATAGCAAACATGATAAATATGAAAAACAAACTTTTACCTAATGAATTGATTGAATTCCATTCAGTGGTGGATGTAGCTCTTTATGATGAGGAACGATCATAATCATAAAATATATTTTTTGAAGTTCATTTTTAAGTCTTTTCTTCTAGGAAAAATCATGATAAATCTTTTAGAAGGGGACAATCGTCCCTAAGTACTTTCCTCTAAATCTAACACTGATTCCATTGAGTCATGTGATTCGATGTTTCTTTTTTCAACACTATTAATTGTAATTTAGAAAATATTTTTTTGTCAAATTCTTGTGTTCTATTTTGTTTCCTCTTTGGGATTAATCCGTGCAAATCTCTTCCTTCCCAATTGTACATATATATATATATATATATATACATAGATTTCATATTCGAATACAATTGAAACATAGTTCGATGAATTGTTTCTGTGACACTGATATTTTTCTATATTAGTAGAGAGGTTATTTTGTGAGAAAAAAAAACAACTTCTCGTGTCGTCGTTTATTAATAGTCACCTGTTCATTCAAAAGAAGATGATCATCTGTTTACAAAATATTATTTAAATAGACATCCGTTCGCCCTTCAAAAACTTTGCACTTTATGTAAATATTCAATACGTAAGTTTTGAAAAGAAACAATAAACTAATGTTCATAAAATAATTCAATGAAAATTTTATATATCATTTGATTAAACAATATTATAAATCAACGAAATATTCTAATCTAAATAAATCTGTTATTTGATACAAAAGTAGAGTTTGATGTTTTCTTACAATAGACATGATTCTTTTAAATATAAGTATTAAACTATTTTCAAATAGATTAATGCTAGTCACTATGTCATCTAATAAATCTGTTATTATACTGGAAGTTTTTTTTCTTCTCATATTCTTGATCCTTACTATTCTGTAAAATTTATGATATTTCAAACAAAAATTTTTAATAGGTTTTTAAAGCAAATGTAAGCTTAGTCTTTGATAAAATATACTCGATTGCACTCAAATGAAAATAAATACTAGGGAGAATACGATGAAGTATCGAATGAAATAAGTCCAAATGATTAATACTATAAAACCAACCAATGAAAATGTCCAATAATAATATTGTTCTTTTTAAAAAAAAGAAAAAAGTAGAAAAATGGCAAGGTCTGCATAATCTAGTCAATATAATAAAAATTTATTTGTCACTCAATGTTCTTTTTCATGTTTCATTCTTTTTTTATCGAGATCAATGACATAAGATTTGCTTACTGAATAAAACAAAAAAAAAAGGTGACCGATCGATTCAATTTAAATTAGCATTTTGTCAATAGGTAACTAAATCTCACTAGCAAAAAAAAAAGTGAGCGACAGCGGCAATTTCCTTGATACGTTCATTACACTTTGTTCTTCTAGTCACATGAGAAATTCGATCTTTGTCATATGTTGATCAATACTAATTGTGCTCTATGATATTTTCAATAAATAAAATGTGAACAAAATTGATTAATTAAAACAAAAAAAAAAATTCATTTTTTCAAAGCTTTTAGTTACTTCAACCGATAGAAAATATTTGTTTTGTGAATATTATGTATGTGTATCGGTAAAAGAAAGAGAAAGGAAGGAGAGCTCAAGGTTTTAGTCTAAAGCCGCACGCAAGTACACACGAACGATGGTGAAGGATTACGACCATCATCACCATACTGTATTAGCATTCAGATTTAGTGGTCGATAGTGAAGCTCACACACGTATATATATATATATATATTTCCCACTCAACAATAGCAATAATTTGATTGACTTGCATACGTATTTGGTAAGTTATTTTAAATTTGTTTCTTTGTTTGTTACCAATCAAGAGAAAATTTTCTTGTGAAAATCAATTTGCATTAACTATATAGATCGACAGACGGAAACTTAAAGTATCTATGCAATACTCATTTGCATAATAATCATTATTATAAATGAAAAGAGTTTTTTTTCTTTTTTAAGAATATTTTGAAAAAATAGACGAATGAGTCGTTTCTTTTGTTTCTTTTTTTGTTGAATATCGAGTGACATCCAATCTCAATATTCATGATAGATGAAAAACAACATAGGTGTAGATGTGCACGTCTGGTCATAGAACGAACAAGCGACCGAAACAATTCAACATTTGCCCAATGCTTAGCAGGGCAAGGGATTAGTGCACGTAATGAAAAAAGAGAGAATAAGAGAGACGCGAACAAGAATGATGCGTTGTTGTTATTCTCGTCTCTGGTATACTTTCTCCCCCTCTTTCTCTATTCTTCTATCCTCCTCTTCTTTTTTTTCCATTATGACACCCATACTAAGTCAATAGTGATGTGTAAACCAATAGGAGAAAAGTAAAAACGGAAATAATTCCGTTTTATCGATGAAGGGAAAATTAAATAAATCAACAGAAAATATTCACTGTGACATATTTTTTATTGAGAAATCGGAAATGAATATTTCTCTCTTCTCACATTAGTATGAGTACATTCAAAATCAATCTTTAATTCTTTTTGTTTTTTTTTTTGTTTAATTTTTTTTTTCATTTTATATGCACCAAATAAACGCATGTGCAAGATAGAGAGAGAAACATTGGTCAAAAAAAAAGGCACAACAAAAAAACGTGAGAGAGCAAGAAAAAAAACCAACATACATAAAAAGCAAAAAAGAAAAAGAAAACTAGTGTCTTTTCTTTTCATTTTTTTTTTCAAATTTAATTTTATTGTATATCACAAAATGTTTTCGTTCAATTTGGTTCGGAATAAAATCCATTCTGTGTTGTTGTCGAACTTTCATATAATTGAAAACTAGAACTATTTTGTTTTGCTTTATTTTTAAGAACTTGTGTTAGTGGATGTGATGTTAATGGTTCAATAAGATTTGTATTATGTGTATAAATATTCGGATTTGTATCCGATAATGAATAATATGATGATGATGTTATAGTAGTATTTGGTGGTGCTGGTAATGTTGTATCACTATAATTATTTGTTATAGGTAATGGTTGAGTTAATGAATTCATTGATGGAAGTGTCCATGGATTAGTTGTTGTTTGATATGAACTTGTCGGATTTGGATTTGGTGATGATTGAGATGAAGATTTTGGACTTGTAGGAGATTTAGTTGTATCCCAATTTGTATTTGTTGGATATGTTGACATAAATGATGGTGGTGCTTGATGATGTGTATACATATCAAATGGAGGAACAATATGAGAAAAATTTCTTAAATGATCCATATTTCTTTCACGTTTACGCCATTTAGCTCGACGATTTTTAAACCCTAAAATAACAAAAACAAAAAGATTTTTATATTCAATGAAAATAAATCATATGTATTGTTGTTGTCGTTATTTTATACTTACACACACGAACTTTAGCTTCAGTTAAATTAGTCATTGCTGCAATATCTTCACGTGTTGCTAAATCCGGATAACGATTAATCGTAAATGTTTGCTCTAGTTGTGTTAATTGTTGACTAGAAAAATGTGTACGTTGTCGACGTTGTCGACCATTTGGATTATTTCCATTTGAATTATTACATTTAGATTTTTTATTTGAAGATTTTTTATCATCATCATTACAAGCAATATCTTCATCAGCACTTTGTTCACTTATATGATTTGTTAAATCATTATTTGATTCATATTTAATAATATTAGGTTTTTGTTGTTGTTGTTCAAGATTAGTTAAAATAGTTGGTGATGCATAAGTTTCATATGTTGGTAAATGTGTTAATAATGTTGATGATGATGTTGGTTGATATTGTGAATGATAAATATCAACTGATGGATGATGTGTAAGATAATTTGAATTTGTTGTTGGGGATGAATAAAGTTGATGATGATCAGTTGTTAATTGTTGTTGTTGTTGTTGTTGTTGAGTATCAAACTGTTCAGCTGTAAAATAAGAGGCTGTTGGTGTTTGATACATTCGATTAGCATTATGAAAATAATGATGATGATGATATTGTAAATGTGATGAATTGAAATAATCAGCATAATCAGCATGTATAGGTGCATTTAACAGAGTAGCAAGTGTTTCATTTGGATTTTCCATTTTTGTATATCACCGGCACTAGAAAAATAGAAAAAAAAATAATCCTGGATTAATTTTTGATGATGCCAAATGATGATGAAGAATTTTATTTTAGGCTTTTTATTTTGTTTTGTTTTCAATAAAGTTTTTGTATCAAAATAAAGAGAAAGAAAAAGAAATAACTAAATCCGGTCAGATTAATACCTTTTTTCCTTTTCTATTTTTCTACACACTAGTCTAATACTCGTTGTCGTTCGAATTGGTGTTGATTGTAAGATTTATGTTCATTAGTTACGAAAACGATTTTATGAGAAACAGAGAGAGAAAGAAGCAGAAGAGAATAAGATTCGTTTTTTTCCTTTTTTTTTTTTTGTGTCTGTCTGTATGCTTCAGAAAAAGAGGAGAGCACGTGCCGAGAGAGAAAAAAAGAAAGGGATTAGTTGAGATACGTTAATTGAGAGAGAGAATATGAAACGTCTTTTTTTTCTATTGGTTTACTGTTCTTTTAAGAACCAATAGGAAGCGTATATATATGTTATTTTGCAATGATGAAATGAAGAACTATATATAATATCCTGATCTCAAGTGTCTTAATAATTTCTAATAAGTCACAATAAGAACAGATGTTTAATCGAAAAATGAAAAATTTTCTGATGACAATATTTGAAAAAAAAAGAAGTCATTTCACACTTATATTTGAAATAGATAGTATATTCAAAAGAGTAGTTAACGCCCGTTTTTTTTTTCATTTGTTTGCTTTCTTTGTTGTCCGCAGTTTGATGTGAAAAACGAAGAAGAAAATAAATCGAACGATCGATCGATGATGATGAGAAAAAAAGAGATTAACTCGTTTTCGTTCTCTTTTTTTTCCTACAACGATGAAAAGATGTAACATGATGAGTATACGCGAGAAAAAGAAAATGATTTGTTGACTAAGAGCGGAGATGCATTTATATTGAGATGTATTGATGAATATAATAGGTATAAAAGAATTAGATTTCAAGTTCAAACGAATGGTTTTATTTGTATGATTAGAACTAATTGAGAAATAAAATAAAGATTCAAGATCAAGCATAAACCTTCTATATTATTCAATAGTTTTCAAGAAACTTGCTTTTGTTTTTTTTTTACTCACATCATTTTCCAATCATTTCGCTTCATTGTTTTTTACTGTATAGTTCGCCACTTTTTCACGATTACTGTTATAACAGACATCTGATTATCATCTTATTCAGAAGACTAAAAATAAAGAATAAAAGATGTTCTTCTTTGTTTCTATTTCCTCCTATTTTGTTCTTTGTATATGTATGTTTATTTTGTCCCACATTTCTTCTTCTTCGTTTTTTCTTTTTTTTTTTAATAGAACAATCAATTGACAATCGAACGTGAGAAGACGACACGAAACAAACATAGAAAGAAAAGAGAATAGTGTATGTCACTCTTGAGAGAATGAATATATGCATACACCTCAACGATAGTGATGGTAGCCGTAACAAGACAAACTTAGCATATAATTACATTGTTTCGTTTGACAACGAAACGATAGACAGGCAAGCAGGAGGACGACCGATCTAAATGTCAGCTTGTGCAAAGAGACAAACACGAGCATGACCCAGTTAGAATGATAAAGAAGAAATGAATCGATTCTTGTTCGAGCACGTCGCGTCCACAAAACAATAAGATGACGTTGTTTTTTTTTATTGTACAAATAAGTATAATAAATTGCATCTTTATCAAATATAAAGATATTCTTGATTAGTAGATCTCGAATTTAATCAAGTGACTTTTATCAATTGAAAAACAAAAAACAAAAACGTTTTGTTCATTAATTATTTTTCGACTTATAACATATTCATATAATAAGCTTATCATTTTACGTAATAATATATTATTCGATAGAACCATTGAAATATATAATTTGTAATCCAGCTTGATATTCATTAACATGCACATCTATATTTATGTATAAAGAATATTGAATTGTTAAGTATTCAGTTGGTATTTTATACAATACCATTATATAGAAATTTATGACATGACAATGCAATGCTTGTCATTTTCTGGAGAAATTATTTAACGTTTGATATGTACATCTTTTCACGTCTTAGAAAGACAATGAATGTTAATCGATATGATTGATCTACAAATATAAATCTGTTTGTATTCATTATCATCTTCCATGAAGAGGTACTCTTGTTTAAATGATGAATAATATTTTAATCAAGCTTGCCAAATCTTATACATCAGCCAAAAAAAATTTCTACACTTTAATTTTTTTCGAATTCTTCTGAAGTGTGATATTTTTTCTAGATTCCAATTTTAGGAAAGTTTGATTAAAATTTTTACTAGACTTGTTATTTTTTTTCATGGAAGTTTAAACAATGAAAAATAAGACTGATTTTGTGAAGTACTGTGTGCTTCAAGGTCGTTTAAAATTTTGAATACTCTTTTCTAATAATTATTGATTATTTGGATAAAATGTCATGGTCATAAAGACTCTTTATCATCTCCAATTCAAGTTAATTTTCGATATAATTTGTTATTAGGTTTATTTAGAGAATAACAATAGATATATAGAAAATTCTGATGAATTCTATGAAACCTTAAAAATCTGAAGAAATTCATTGAATAGCACTAGCGTATAAAAGGGTCTTTAGTGACTGTTTACAAATGAGGACAACTAAATAAACTCGTCAGAAGTTAAGAATTCATAGATAGAAAATAGTAGGAGAAATATAGTATTATTCCTTCTTAATACTTTATATATGATGTTGAAATCTTGTAAGAGAAATAGTGGATCCTGATTTCTGATGTGGTCTAGTAAATTCAAGCGGGTCTCAATGAATTCCGATGAATTCCCTATCGTATTCTTTGAAGTTTAGTACGATCGTCATACCCTAGATCATTAACACAGCAGGTCCTAATTTTCTGATTTTCTTTTCGAAACTGTTCTGATTTCTAGTCGTTTTAACGAATACTTTTGTATTTTTTTTACTTGCGGCACTTCTTTGAAAGAGCATGAAAAAACCAAAAAAAAACAGAATTATTCGATATAGCTAGATCGGATCAGAGTCATTTCAAAAGAAAGGAGCTCTGATTCAGTGCTCGAATGCTACTGACTAACAGTGCAATATACGTTTGCTCCAATCTAACGCAGAGATGAAGCCAGTATCGATTACCGTTCGATCCGATCCTGCCTGATCTACTCAGATCAATGCCTGTACTGGTCGTCAGAAATCTATATCGATTCCATCTCTGATTTAAAGTCTTTTCAAAATAAACTAAACATCCTGGATTCATGAACAATTCACTCGAATTAAAAATGTTTCCTAGCATGAACTGAATTGAAAGTTTAAGAACAACTACATTTTTATATATTAATTTTTACATTTTATACTAAATTGGACTAAATGATGCATGATTTATTCGAAAATTTCAATGTAAATAAAAGTAAGATTGAGAAAGAAAAAGCAACTATATCAGCAACAGCCTTTATAGAAACATAAACGACATCCGTTTCTCGTGTTTTAAAGGAAGAAAAGGTGTTTTAAGGAATACAAAAGTTCTATATTTAAATATCGCATAACCATGTCCGTCAAAATTAAATTTTAGAGATCAGAAATTCTTTGTGAGAAATCAAAAGATTATCAGCAGACTCGATCGTTCGATCAGAAGATCTTTATTTAAAGTTCAAGAAGTATTTGATGTTTTTTTTTCTTAAAAAAAATTGAAACTTTATCTCGCTTGAACGCTTGTCTTTTTACATATCTAATTGATGACAGAAAAATTTCCTTATATTGGTTCAGTAAGATCATTTTTACATGCTCGTAAAAATATAGACAATAGAACGTGATCAATCATTCTTATTTGAATTTTGATGTATATCGTTTATTTACAGTTAATAATAATCAAGAAATAATAACTTTCAATTTTGAAATATGTTGTTAATACAAACAGAAATAGAATAATTTACGGATTGTCATTTAGATGATGATAAGTTTGAATCAATATTTTCATTCACTTGGGACGAAAATATTGGACATATACATACTTTTCATTTTTCTATAAACTCAAATGAAACAACTAATTTGAATAAAATTAGTTTAT